GTAAAATAAACCGCCTCCCGTATATGTAGTGTCTAAAAGCGTCTAAGCACCGAAGAACAACTAGCACTTCCCTCTTAAATTGATGGCGATTGCGTTCCGCGATATTAAGCGCCCGACTCTTGAATCTCAACGGTCTTTCTTTCCCTCCAACATCCTTCTGGGAAAGCAGGCCTCCGACCGAACACGGTCCAGCATCCGTGGATACTATAAAGGGTCTGTTCGTCTCGTCTTCAAAGAACGATACTCCTAGAATACGTCCTCCTTCCTTGAGTTCGTTCTTAAGTGCAAGCATGGCGGCTTCCTGTGAGGAACCCCATTGAAACCGTTCGGTCCTACATAGAAGAAGTCTCAATGGTTTCGCCTTCTCCGCGTACCCTTGTATAAAGATTTGCCAGTACCCTACAACTCCCAAAAACTGACGAATAATGGTCGCGCTACGCAGCGACGATGATCAATTCAAGAGTTGATCTAACTTTGCTGGATCTTCCCAGCATCCTCTCGCATCACTGATAAACCCTAGAATCTTAATCGAAGAGACCGTCCACTGGCTCTTTGTACCACTACGTAAATATTTGTCAAGTATTGCTCTACAAACCTCTTGACGCTAGGAGCGACCTCCGTCTCATCCTTCTCAACCGGTCCCTTGATCGGGAAATCATCTAGAATGACTTTCACCTTGTCAGGAATAAAGTCTTTTAGGACCGCTACCATAGCTCTCTGGAATACCGCGACTCCGTTAGTCCGCCCCATTGGCACCACCATCATCTGAACTAGTCACAGGGGTGTGTGCGTAGCGGTGAGATATATGTCTGTCGGATCTAGCAGTATCTCGTCATATCGAGAAAATAGATCGCAGATAGAGTAGATCGATCTGCCTGTTGCCCCCTCCGCTAAAAGATCCGCGTGGGGAATGGATCCAACGTCGCGGATGGTGACCCCTGATCTTGAATCCATCGGATTTTCCCATTCGGTTCCTGCAAGAAGAACCATCTGTTTGCATAAGCATTGTCTGACGGCACAGCTACATGAGTAGCCATCTTCTCCTTTAAATACGTGATCACCTCTTCTTTCTCCTTTTGCTCGTACTTCCATCATGCGTCGTTCCGTGGCGTGTGCAGGATTGTATAGATTCTGACAGGTTTAGCGTACCTAGGATCGATTCTCCCTCTCTCAGCATCGTTAAATGCTATCGCTTTGTCGCAGGTCTTCAATACTGCTCGGTCAAATTCTCATCTCCGATGTTCATTTCCGTTATCCTTTCTTCTGTTAAACGTTGGGCTCTTTCTTTTTCGTCTCTTTTATCCCCCTTGCGATCTCTTCTTCAGATATCCCTTCTAACGTTGATCGCTCTCGGGCGACTGCCGCCGGTTTTACTTTCTTCGCTACTCGTTTGTGTCTCTTTGGTTGACTCCCGTAGGGGGCTGTGTCCTTAAAAAAAACACAAAAATCATCCCGCCAAATTCTTCATCCTCGCTCTTTCAGTAAAACTTTTCATCCACAATCACACTGTTTCCCAAGTCCTCGACTTCGATTATTCCTCCTCCTTCCTCCGTAAGCCGGGGTCCGTATTTCTTCTAAAGGAACCTCAGCGTGTGGCTAGCGAAAGAAGACGACTTGCGTGCTCCAACCGCCAACTTGAAGGCGACCTTGTTCCTCGGATCTCGAAGCTCAACATTCTCTATCATAATCCTGCCACCGTCAGGACGCTTGATAAAAAGCATCTGGCTCCCATCTGGTCGTTCTATTGTAACCGCATGAACATGGCTTAGCCACGTCCATCCGAGTAGTAGCTCAGAGCTGCAGTCTTTGACCGCGAAGACAGGCATCGGCTTGCGCAACCCTTCAACCTCGATAGCTGCCTTGTGACATACTCCAGAGAAGTTATGCTTCCTTCCGTCAGCTGTTACTATCGCAAATAGGTAGGACCTATCCAGGTTCAATCAACATGTTATTCGTTAAAACAGTACATTCTTGTGTGTACTATTTTGAAACAAATTTATGACACAGTGTATAGTTTGGTGTAGTATTCCAGATCCGGATACATCCGAACCAGGAGTAAAATCAGCTTTGAGGCGAGGAGCACAGTCAGTACATATATCTGCTGCGCTCCTCTCGTGGTTCGGATGTGTCCAGATGTGGAACACCACAGCAGAGTATACATTGTGTTATACGCCTCTGAGTCAGTACATGTATCTACTGCCTCAGTACATATATCTGCTGCGCTCCTCTCCTGGTTCGGATGTGTCCAGATGTGGAACACCGCAACAAAGTAATATATTACACTCTGTTATAGTTTCACTTGGAGTTGAGCATCACACTCATCCGAATCAGAACAGTATAATGACATGAATTCGAGTTTGTGAAGAGTACAACGAGTTGTGGCTCTTCACAGACTTAGAGGAGAAGGATGACTTGTATTTAGAAGTGTGAGGACCAGAATGAATTGGAGTTCTGCACCGATGACCGTGTACATTTGAAGGGCGAGAGAGATAGAAAGAGAGAGAGAGACAGAAAGAGCGAGAGACAGAGTCTCAGAGAGACTGTACTTAATTTTCTCGAGACGCCGCACAGGAGGCGGAGGGTCGAGCACACGCGTAGACCATCAGCCTCGCTTTGTAAAGCATTTCAGATGATCGTTGTAGGAGAGCAGCAAGGTAATGTGAATTTCCAAGATAAGCGAAGTTCGGATGTATCCGAGATCACAGGAGATAGACAGAGAGAGGAAGTCCACAAGAAATGGTCGTGTACATTTGAAGAGCGAGAGATATAGAAAGAGAGAGAGAGACAGAAAGAGCGAGAGACAGAGAGTCTCAAAGAGACTGTACTTAATTTTCTCGAGACGCCGCACAGGAGGCGCAGGGTCGAGCACACGCGTAGATCATCAGCCTCGCTTTTAAAAGCATTTTAGATGATCGTTGTAGGAGAGCAGCAAGGCAATGTGAATTTCCAAGATAACCGAAGTTCGGATGTATCTACAGGAGATAGACAGAGAAAGGAAGTCCGCAAGAAATGACAAATTAGCACGCCAGAGGGCTGAGAGATGGAAAAGACAAGCACCGTATAATCATCCACAACATTTCGTGTTACAGACGTATCCGAAGTGTCGAACTAGTATAGACCCTTCAGTTCGAAGCTTCCCCTGTGCTTTTTGGGACACAGTTCAAGAAGTATTTTTTTCGAAACTGAGAGAGAGAGAGAGAGAGAGAGAGAGAGAGAGAGAGAGAGAGAGAGAGAGAGAGAGAGAGAGAGAGAGAGAGAGAGAGAGANGAGAGAGAGAGAGAGAGAGAGAGAGAGAGAGAGAGAGACAAACATTGTACCATCATCCACCACATTTCTGTGTTTTGGATCCATGTGAGTCGCTTCGCTACAATCTAGACAGAGCTGAGAGAGACGGAGAGAGCGCGACAGAGAGAGCGCGTCAGAGAGATAGAGAGGGAGAGGGAGACATAGACAGAGACAGGGACATAGACAGAGACACAGAGAGAGACATAGAGAGTGTGGATAATCGCACTGAATTTTCTTTTCATGCCGACATGTCGCACAGGAGACGCATGTTGGAGGAATACACGAAAACCACAAGTGTAGCTGTACAAGAGCTGCAAGGTTTTCGTTCGGCGAGAGTAAGCCAGGTTCGGATGCATCCGAGATGACAGGGGAGAGGGAGTCCGAAGCAAACAGCAAATGAGCGCACTTGACACAACTGTGGGTGTGCGTGTGCGCGCGCGCACGCGCGCGCGCGCGCGCGTGCGCGAGAGAGAGAGAGAGAGAGAGAGAGAGAGAGAGAGAGAGAGAGAGAGAGAGAGAGAGAGAGTTGAATCTTGAAATCCTTTTTCGGAAATTGAGGACCAATCATACAATGTTCATTTCTTCTTGAGTGCCAACTCAATTCAGTTTGTGTCACTTTGTAGCACCAATTGGCTTCGCCTTGTGTTTTAACCTTCCGTCACCACATCCAATTTTGTCCACTCATGCAATTGTATTTTCAGCCGCGCTACGTTAATTCAAATCTCGCCACATTCAAGTAGCCATCGGCGTCGCCTTTTGGGTTTTCCCTCCGTCGGCACATTCCAATTTTTCATTGTCTTGGGTAATGCATAGGAACCGAATGTATGAATGCGCGTGCAAACGGGAAGCTTTGACGGGCCAAAGAATTGACAGCATTCAATGTCGAAATCAAAAAGCACCCAGCGCGGAGGGCCAGACGGGCCATCAAATGTATAAAGAGACCCGTGTGTTGTATTTTCTTCTCTGTGATGCCTCACAACATTCAAAGTGAAAATGCATAGATGAGTGTAGACGACGGGGAAGGTTCGAGAGAGAGGCAGAAAAGCATAGAGTTGGTTGGAGTCCGGATGCATCCGAGTATGCGGGCAGAACATCACACCACACAAGACACAAAATGGCGAAAGCGAGAAAGTCAATCACGAAACAGGTGCCCCAACAACGGGGACGTTCGTGATAATCGAAAGCCAATGAGAAAGAACAATATTGTCGACGACAAACATGCCGGGGACATGACAATTTCACCTGGAGATATTCTGGCAGTGACAGCCAGTTCTGCTCTGAACCAAACCAAGAACACCCACCAGTCTCTCACGGAAAAAATGAAAAGGAACAAATTTCGTCCGGAGAAGAACGAAATGTTCTTCTACGTCAACCCTTCTACACTACATGATCAGCAAACAGATAGACGCTTACCTACCAACATCGCAAATAGCCAAAGCTAGTCTAGCTCTGATAGAGGAGATGTGTCTATGGGAGAAACCAAAAGGTGGACGTAAACCTCTCGCCAAACAGGAAGCGAACATCAACATGAACACCCCACAACTAGCCCCGTCGTGCTGTCGAGGGACACCTTTCACGCTGACCTCGCGAGCGAAGTGGTCGAAAGTGCGACTATCACCAGCGGCACCTGCCACCGTGTTCAAAAATTTAACAGATTTATCTAAAAGTGCGGAGTAGAAGGAATCTTTGGATGACGAACATGAGAAAGAATCATAGATGTCCAAAACACGTCTAGAGAAGTCAATGGCCAAAAGACTCTAGTGTTCGCCGTCCTTGTGCACTGGTGCTAAGACAAGGTCATGAGACAGGAGGTCGGCATCTTTAGCCCATCTGCTAACAACTGCCGGACCTCGCAGAAGCAGTGTAGAGGCGAAGAAAGAGTTAAAGGTGTACGTCTTCTTGGTAGCAGCAGTCCGGCCGCAGTCGTCCAGTAGCATCGCCATGTAGAAATTGACGACCTCATCGTTGAGCTCCTCGGATCCATCCACGAGTGCGACGATGTCTTTGACGGATACCTGTAAATTGTGCGACGGCAAACGCGCGACGATGATAGTGAGCGGCAACCGGGAGCAGATAACGTATTCAAGGACTGCTCTTCCATCTCGAGGAAACCCTGTTCAACAAACACCCGCAGCACACAGCAAGCACAAAGGATGGGGCACTATGAGAAAATGCCGTCCTAGCGGCCATGGTCCGACAAACCGTTACTCTGTGGCCCGAAAAGTTCACGCATAACGTCACCCCTACTTCTGGACCTTCCACACACTGTTGATTCTAAACTAGCACTGTCCGTCTTTATATCCCTGCAAGCCTCGAGAAGGAATTCCTTGCAGTCTTTTTCAGCAACACCCACTGCCTCTGCAACGAGTCTAGCGCGAGGGCCCAACTGGGAAGGCCCCGAGGTTTAGTGTCCCCAGGAAACGAATCAGTGACATTGCGACGACCAGTGCCTCCCACAACCAGGACTGACAACCTGGCGGGGGCAGGCGGCTCCTGCGACATGTGTGTTTGTCCACGAGCTCGTCGACCTGTACAAGAAATAGCCACCCAGACAGTTCAGCAGGAAATCAACAACACAACTTCGCAAGAGCAACCAAGCAAACAGCACCTCACGAAGCACATCGTCACAATCCAGTTGACGGCCGCCTACACACCTCCCTGAAATCGACGAAGCAAACAACACTTCACGAACGGGCTGACGAGCGGGAAGCAAGCAGAGGAAGTCAATGCTTACCAGGCTTAGCTTCCACGTCACCAGAGCCCACCGATGGCAGTCCAAGCACGATTGGCGCCCCCGTGCGCGTCGACGAGGCGACGACGTGCTCCAAACCCACAGGGAAACTTGATAGGTTCGAGATGTCGGCGTCGATGACCGAAGACGACATAAGTTCATCCCCATCCCGATGGCGGAAATCCTCCACGTCCGCGACGGGCAATTTTAGTTTGTCCGTCTCTGGACAAAGAGCGTCGACGTCCACAACAACGACAGGTCGGGTTTTCTCTATCGCCACTGTGTCGTATTGTGTTGTGCTCAAGGTCCCATGGATGTCCAACAACACCTGTCCCCCTCTTAAATTCTTGTCCTCGTGCGCTGTGTCTTCATCGTCGTCACTCAAATAGAGAAATTTATCTCCAACAGCGTCAGAGGACTTCTTCAGAACGTCCTCTCCCATCGCCTCGTCGTGAAGGCCGGAGTACAAGGGGTCGTCGTATGCCGGCTGAACTGGTTGCTCCATCCCGACGTCGCTGAGTGTCAGATCAATCCGGTCGTCAGCGGAATCGTCCTTGTCCAAAGTCGTCAGAAGTCGACAACCGTCAACGCCTGCCAATTGAAGTCCTTCGTCCCTGTGTCTCAGATGAATCCGAATTACGGTCGTCTCCAAAGCTGCATCAGGGAGGGACATGCTTACAGGGCCCTGGTTCGGATTCATCCGAGCCTCCGCAGTTTCCAATGGCGCCGACTTGTCCACTTTTACCGGAGAGTCGCTTAAGACTGCTAACTCAGCGCGTACCGTCACCAGGCATTCGGCTCCGAGTGTGCGGGGCTCGATATTGAAACTAGTCGCTAACTCACCCTCAGTCGGACAGTCTGCCTGCAGCTCCTTGTGGACTTCCATGCACAACATTACGGCGTCGTGACAGCGATCGTCTATCATGGCGGACACGTCCTCCTGGTTCGGATGAATCCGAATTTCGCCACCAGGGTTTTCGAAAACCCGGACCACCCATTCGAGTTCCGTAGACCGCTGTGCTCTCTCAATGGTACTGGCTTCCCGGTTCGGATTAATCCGAACTTCCTTTTGAGGCGAAACCGAACATGGTTCGAGCTTGTCGCTGCCGGATCCATGGTATGTTGTCGTCTCACTTCCCGGAAGGCACTGAGTTCCGGACGACGATGTCGTCTCCGAGGTTCGGATTGATCCGAGACAATCCGCCAACCGTTTTTAGAGCAGAGCGAAGCAAGTTCCATTCTTTGCTACAACTGCCCCGCCAACATCATCGGTAAATTGTGTTGCGCTGGTGGAGCTAATTACAGGGTCCTGCTCGCCAGGCCGCGTAATCCACCAGGCCTGAAGTCGTTCCACGTCTCCATTGAGGTGCTGCCTGTTACCGCCAGAACCCCACCGTCCTCGTCGCGGTCGACATCGGACCCCTGCCCGTTTTCTGTGTGATGCTTTGTCTTCTCTCCGCTGCGAGGCTTTTTCTTCTCCCGGCTTCCCTTTTTCCCCTCTCCTCCGCCCACGTGCCCCGGAGACCGCTGTTTCGTCGAACGTTGTTCACTTCCACCTCTGGTACCTCGTTGCCCGCCGCCTTCACCATCCCCTTCGCCGTCCTTTCCGCGAGATTTGCGCTTCACAACTCCTGCCGGCGGGGTGATCGCAGGCAACTCCCAACTCACTTGCTGAATTGACGGGCTTGACGGAAGGGCGTAGAACGCGGAGGATACTTCCAGTCATTTATTTGACTGCAATAAATCGAACAGCGTTTCCCCGTATGCACATAGAGCAGGGTCGTCCTTACTTCGTCGATTGACCTCACTTAATCTCTCCAATACCGCATTGTAGGCGCGAGATTTGAATGTATCGAGGTCCCAACGATCGTCATATATCCACCTTCCACTTACGTCCAGCCACTGCCCAGTCGTCGTCGAGAAGGACTGGCTGGAAATGGTCTAGGTGCCACACGATATCATGGCCACAATCTTCGACTGTGGAGAAGGTGTGTTTGTCGCCCATGTGGTAGGGAATTGAAGGAGCTGTGAGATGCGGATGGTTCGGAGGAACTGGATGGCCGGGTCGAAGACGTTCGGGCTGCGGTGTGAGACGAATAGGCTGCACCGGCGAACTCCTCAGACGGGACAACCCACCCCTCTTGACAGGCGCTGAGGAGGGCACGGGCGTGGGACCGCCCGAGGTAGGTGTAGCGAGAGGTGTCCCTTGCATGCTAACGGCAACTTAGAAACTTGGGCGTTGAAGATGGCCAATTGCCCGTCCAAATCGAAGAGGTCGTCCTCAACGCTCTCCTCCTGCTCAGTCTCGATATTGAAGTCGTCGTCCTCACCGAATGCCAGCCTGTAGTTATCCAAAGTGAAGTCGGCCGGATCGACTACACCCTCGTTAAAAAATACATATTCCAGCCTCTTAACGAAGCTCACTGCGCCAGCCCGACTCGCTCCGTGGTAGCCCTGGAGGACCGCAATGGCGACTTCCTTCCGCACCACGTACTGCTGGTCAAATCTCAACCTTGGTTGTTCGCCATAAAGGAAGGAGTAGACCTGGCGTCTTTTCTTCGGAGTCAACTTGAAGAACATGTCCTTGTTCGGGTCATAAACGGGCTCGACCACGACATGGTGGAAAAGTAAGCCTTCGACAACACTTCATGGGTGACATACTGCACTGTGTATTCAAGCTGCGTTGTGTCCCCATCCACGGCCAAGACGTGCCTTCCCTGCTGAAGCAGACTCCACACCACCTGCGCGTGCGGCTTGCCCAAGAACAGCACGACATCCGCCACACCACAAAAGAAAAGAAGCTGATTGCATAAYTGRTTCGGATTCCGCTYGCCGTCCTTGTACAGAGCCCCCCTCTGGGTMAGGTTYCCGATGTCCGCGAAAGTCARRGACTTGAAAGACTTCTCCTCCACATCCGTGGKTGTCACTTTCTRTTTCCTCCGRAGAGCGGYRGCGKCGTCTTCRRCAACAACTCCCTCGTACACCGGGTGAGTCAGTAGCCGAGGATCCTCGCCTTTGAAAAGGATGTGCATCACATCCGGCTCCTCCCAGACGCTGTTTCCGAACTGATGCGTCTTCTTCGATGCCGTCTTCCTAACCCACTTCCCTGTGTAGCATCGGGTAGCCCCAAGCGCAGGCAAAGATGTCATGAAAGAGTGGTTCCACAGGCAGGGAACGAATACCACCAATGTCCAGTAGTCCTGACAAACGAAACCCAGCAACTCACTCAGAGACGCGAATGCCCCAGAGTCCCATTGCGCACGGTCCATAGTTCCGCACAAGTCGAGCACGCAAGTGTGGGAGCATAGCTGATGCCCTAGTTTTCCCAGCGCCTCCTTGTGATCTATGGCACTCAATGGGTCGACGTTAAACTGGGCCAGCGTCGTCAAGGCGCTTGTCCTTGTCCACAAAATGTTGATGCACTCATCAACTCCTCGAGGTTTTTTTTTGCCTTTAGCGTGATCTCCAGTGATCACCGAAAAGACAACACGCTTCCACTCCGCCGAGAAATGCTGGTCGTTAACGAGGGCCGCCGTTCTCTTGATGTTGTTGTTGTGTTGACACCCGAGAAACTGAGGGCACTTGTTGACGTACGCGCTGTCCGTAAAAAATTTCCTGCTCTCGTTCCAAAGCTTGTCATGGAGACCTTTGTCCTTGAACTCTTCCAACAGTTGATTCTTGGACCTGAAGAACGTGGAGTTGGCATTCCACTCCCGCTTATCCATTTCCTCATACTCGAACTGCACGTAGTGCCACAGCCTCAGCATAATCCGGTCCATTTTTATTATGTCGACCATCTCCTTGACACTGAACTTCCCCTACTCGGCCAACTTCTTGCTACTCGTTTGAACCCACACGACGTTAAGGTTCAAGACGCCGTTCAACAGCCTTTTCTTCTCGCGGTCCGTCAAGTCCACCAATTCGTTCCAGCAGTGGACATCCGGCTCAGGAACTTGGACGTAGTAAGTTTTCTCCTCCGCGCCTTTCTTTGGCTTCCCCTTGCCCTTTTTCATCGACGGGTCGTCCACCTTCACGTACCAGACGTGTTTCTTCAGCCCCTGGCTGTCAGTCACAGTGGAGAGTCCTGGCTTGGCCACCTCCTCATGGGTGGGCGGCTTTTCAGTCCAACGTCGACCGTCGGAAGCAAGGAGTTTCCCTTTCGACCACTCCTCATAGAACTTCTCCCCCAAAGCGAAGACGGAGTCATCTGCCATGGCCAGCAGGAGGTAGTATCGAAGTTTTTCAGCCCATTCCTTTCTTTTCTTTTCTTTCGTTGACAGGTTCCACAAAGGCGTGTACGGTGTCTTCTTCATAGCAAACGCCATGAACTGCACCCACTTTCGCACCTCCTCCTTTTTCCTCGATGCATTGTCGAGCACTACATGCGGTTTGCCCTTAATTTTCCAGATATTGCGAATGTCCCGCATAGACAAAACCTGCAAGCGCGGTGGATTCTTCTTGTCTTTCATGTTGTCTTCGCAGCTGACATGGGCGTAGCCGTCGAACTCGTTGTCAGGGAGGTAGATCGGTCTGAACGGCCATTTACAGAAGTTGTAGTACTCAAACACGGGATGGTCTTTCACCTTCATCGCCGCCCTCGCGTTATGCTGTCTACACACAGGATAATACCAGTATTTCTCGGGCTGTGAGTTGTCGAAGTCACTAGGCAGCACGCGCACAGCAGGCTCGCCCCTCTCTGGAGGCGCAACGATCGGAGCGAGAACGAAAATGGGCTTCGTGTATCTCATGTCTTTACGTTCGTAGCAATCGATCATAGCCGACGCGATGGTATCAACGAGGAACTCGTCCAAGGATCGGTGGTTGTACGCGTCTTCCCAGTCTGGAATAGCCAATATTCTTTCGGGATGGATGTGCAACACGACGTCCCTCTGCACCCCTGTCTTCATCTCAAGGAAGAACGCATTGTCAAGGTTAGAGGCGTTAAGGTTAATCTCCACGTCGTCATCCCCCTCCCCGCTGTCGCCCTCATCTGCTTTCTTCCCCCTCGATGATTTCGACTGTTTCCCGGAAGACTCACCGGTTCTTCGCCATGTCGACGAGTTTTTTGGCGTTTCATCCCCACCTCCAACCCTTTTCCTCTTCTCAACGGAACCGCCCTCTCGTGTTGTTGGCGTCCGAGCACTCCCTCCTACCTTTCTCTGCCTTTTCAGAGCACCTACTCCCTTTCGCTCTTCCTCATCTGGCAAGTCGCGCTTGCCTCCCGACTGAGTCTTTTCAGTCGATCTCTCACGGAACAGCCTCTGCTCGGACACCTCCTCCTCACTAGCGACGTTCCCACTTGCTTCTCGTTCGTGGCTCAACTCCATCTGCAGTTGTGCAGGCGCAGGTCGGGCCCGGCGAGTCGTCTCATCTGACCCACGCACCTCTCGAACCTGCGAACCACCCGCGCGATCTCCAGGCAAAACCTCGGCCACCTGCATGCCCGAACGAACGCACCGATCCTTTCGACCAGACGACGAGGAGTCGTCGATTCTGAGCCCTGTTGCAACCGTTCGCCATCGCCGCCTCCACGTGGCGTCGACTCCCCAAGCAAACCTTGGCGGCGACATCCATGCAAGCCCGGTTTCAAAGGAGCACGCGGATGGTCGTCCTCCGAGTCGTCTGACATGCCCACCTCTTGATGAGGAGGCGTCACTGGCAGGTCACCCTGACCTCCTATCCTCCTTTCATAGCACTCTCCTCCCGCGAACCCAACAGGACCACTGATCGATGTCCCAGGTCCGACGTCCACGACACTGACAAAGGTACCAGATCTCGCCCAAACCTCGAGGAAGTCTGTCACGTGAAAGGCCTCGTCGTGCCCCCGCGCTAGCGGGACAAAGGACGACAAAGACATCGCACGCCGACCGTACCCGCCGAACATCCTCCTGGCAACCTTGCATCCTTTTGCGATGTCGTCGACGAAACCGTCACTTCTGTAATGCTTCCGCAACGTAAACTTGAAATTGTATTCGCCTTCGTCGACCCACTCGACGATGGACCCTGCGAGACACGTCCTATCGCCGCGAAAGGCGACGAACAAGAGCGGCCCGCACGGTGGTTTCAACGGGTCGGAGCCGTCCTGGCTCGCCCAGTCCAAATACCAGACACGTTTGCTGTAGTCGCACCACAAGTTTTGAGCCCGTCGTTCTTCCTCCCCACCGCCACCTCCCCGACTCGTTTCCCTTGCCGGCGACGACGTCGTCCCTCGACGCTCCTCTCCATGCGGGGCGGAACCACCAGCGGAGCGACTTCGTCTGTGTGTAACCATTCCCTCAAACACGCGGAGGAAATGAACGCACATGCACTTAGAACACTCAGCATGTCCTAACATCAATGACGACCCACAACACGTGTTCTGTTATCGATCACCCGGACCCCAAAAGAACGAAGTTCAGTCATAGTTAGACGACAGTTGTCCACACGCCTGCACGTTTTGGATAAATCCGAGGCATCGTGAACCATCCTCATCACATTGCATTTAAGAGAACGAATGGTCGAAAACGAAGACCGCGGGATAGTTCGGATACATCCGAAGCAGGCGCAGTCGAAAGACCGACGTCGCATAGGCACCTGCACCGGGAAAAGCAAGACCTCGCTAGAAGGCCCTAGAACGCGGATACAACATACGAAGATGCGCACCCCATGGTGATTCGGTTTCGTCCGAAGTTGACAAGCGTATTGTAAAGTTCGCCGGTGTAGTTCTGATGCATCCGAGCTCCAAAGTGGTCCACATCCGTGTGGCCCGGACCAGTCTGAACTCGAGTTCTCTCGTCCTTCTAAGTCGATAACGGTTGTGACTCGGATGCATCCGATTTTGAACAGCACGGTCCACAGTCGGTCATCCACAAGAGGACGCCATCGAAAGTACGTGTTTTCGTCAATGACTTGTGAGCATTGGGTTAATCCTATCTTGCCGGAGGTTTGGGTCGGTTGAACCTGAACTTCGCCAACGTGGCTCGGATCAATCCGAGACGGGGACCGGCGGATGGACCCCACGGTCTGTTGACGCCCATCCAGCCATCCAAGCTTCCGTTATTCCCCTGCTGTCCTTGGGTCCACTCGAGCTTCGCACGATGTGTCTTCGTCCTTGAGTGTTTAAGACGGGTGTGGCTCGGATTTATCCGATTTCGACAGGGGCTGTCCCGATACGTGCGACCACGAGAGGCTGTGCCGACACCGTGTGCTTTCGTCGTTTAAGTTTATCAGACCGTGCGACGTCGTTAATACCCTCTGCGCATGTGGTAAATCTGAACAAGCCATCAGTGTGGTTCGGATTAATCCGACTTCGCTGAGGCGCTTCGGTTTGTTGTCGCCCCACCACATACCGGACCTCCCCGCGATTGTCGTAGTGTGTCGTTATAATCTGTGCATCATTACAGGGGATGTCGTGGTCCTCATGAGTTTTAGTTGGCTGTGGCTCGCCCAATCGAAACAAAAGACACGTTTGTTGTAGTCGCAGCACAAGTTTTGAGCTCGTCTTTCTTCCACCCGAGCGTCACCTTCTCGACTCGTTTTAGTTGGATGAGTCCGAGGCATCATTAACCCTCGTCATCAGACTGCCCTTCGTAGAACGAATGGTCGAAGACGAAGACAGCGGGGTAGTTCGGATACATCCGAACTGGGCACAGTCGAAAGACCAACGTCGGGTATCGTTGCCAGTGATAGGTACTTGCATCGGGAGAAGCAAGACCGCCCTAGATGGCCCTGGAAAGCTGGTGGAGCAAAAGAAGTTGTGCACCCCATTGAGACACGAAATCATCCGAAGTCGACAAGCGGATTGTGAAGTGCCTCGGTGTGCTTAGGATGCAATCGATCCCTAAAGTGGTGTGGACTACATCCGTGGGGGCCGGCTTCGCCGGACTCGAGTTTTCTCGTCCTTCTGATATGGTGAGGGTTGTGACTCGGATGCATCCGAATTAGCACAATGCGATACAAAAACGGCCGACCACAAGAGGAGGCCATCGGCATGGCGTGTTTTCGTCAATGACCTGTGAGCATAGGGTGGACCCTATCTTGTCGGAGGTGTGGTTCAAATTAATCCGAGACGGGGACCGGTGGATGGTCGGCACGGTCTGCTGACAGCGTGTGATTCCGTCGTTCACATTCATCAGAACGTGCGACATCCTAAATACCGTCTGAGCATGTGATAAATCCAAACTTGCCGTCGGTGTGGTTCGGATTAATTCGAACTTCGCCGAGGTGCCTCGGTTTGTGGTCGCCCCGTGAGTTTTAGTGGGTTGTGGCTCGGATGCAACCGAAATTAACAAGGGTGGCTCGGATACGTTAGTTGTTGCGCCACCAGAGGATGGTCTGGACAGGGTGGGCTGTCGTCCTCCTGGTTGGTCAGACTTGTCGCCGTCGACAATACCCTATGAGCATCTGATCGCTCCGTGTCCTGTCCTGTGTCCACGTCAGCGGAAGGGTTCCTCGCGGCGATTGACTGACGCGAGGTTTGATAAGGTTTAAAGATTTGAATTGACATTCGCCCTTGAGTGCGATCACAGATCAGTAATCCGAAGACTGCTAGGACATTGTCCTAGCAGTCTTTGGATTGCTGATCTGTGATTGTGCTCAAGGGGGAATAACCTGGAATCGATTAGGCGACTGTCTGTGTCTTCGAATCTGTCCTAGCAGTCTTCGGATTACTGATCTGTGATTGCACTCAGGGGGGACCAACCTAAGATCGGTTGAGTGGCTGTCTGCGATACACAAAGATTGGAAAAAAGCAGAAAACCCGCATAGACACGGAAGGGAGACTAAGATCGATAGAGACGTCGATAAGGAGAGGGGGCGCAGCGAGAGAGCATGTCTTTATCTCTCTGTCTCTCCATGTGCAGATCCTGCGGATGGTGTTGTCTTTTTCGGAATTCGCAATGTGACCCATTTAAAAACCGCACAGAAGAAATATAAGAAAAAACGTACAATTATCTTCCTGTTACGCGTCCCTTGTCGAACATGAAATGGCGCTTTGCATGAAGACGGCGAGCGTTCTTGATCGTGTCACGGCACAGGATGCACCACGAACGTTCGTGTGCGTGTCGGCGAGAGGAAAAGTGACGAAAAATGTGAAAAATTTGACGAATGTAGAGGACAATTTACGGATACAAAACTGAACGCCGAGCGAACTGCACGACGCGACTTACGCCGAGACGACATACGACTAAAAACCTTATATCGAAGTTCGTGAGAAAGACAACAAATTGACGAGACGCGAGAAACACTTCAAGAAAACATCTGAAGTGACGACACAATCTCGACGCCCGTATCACAACATTCTCGGGCTGCATTCGCGGGTCCCGTTTCGTTGGTGACCACTCGACCCGATCAGATGGCACACTCACACGTCCACGTGTCAGCTCCTGAACATGCGTGGCCACGCTGATGGATGTGGGGCTCTATTCGACAACATTCCGTTGTCGCATAGAGCCCCGCATCCATCAGCGTGGCCACACTTCTTGCGTATGACGTCAGGAATTCAAAATGGCTTGCGGCTTTCGCAGTCAAGATCGTCGGACGCCTTCGACGACGGCATCTGACGCATGGACGAAGTTTCATCGCCGTTGCTCCCTGGCGTCCTCAAGATCGCGTGTCGATCCACTTGATGTCCCATTTTACTATCGCCGGTTTTCACGTCTTTCGGATGTTCTCCCACAGTTGTTGCGATATGTGATCACCGCTGCGATAACACGTAATCCGATAGACGTCAACACCGGAGACATCATCTGAAAAACGCGTGTCGATCGACTTTCAGATCCCGTCCATCCATCTCTGGTGTTGACGTCTATCGGATGATGTGTTATCGCAGTGTTGATCACATCATCCCATGTCCCCGATAGCGGAGTGCTGTGCTGGAAGCCTCACGACAAACGCGCACCTCCAACAGGAACCGCCCGTGTCGCACGCACAGCCAACAGTGGCGAAGCCACCCATCCACAACGTTCAGCGACGACCCGTTGCGCACAACAGAGACCCATGGCGAATCCGAAACATCCCAGATTACCGCTGATTGCGCAACATCCCACCGCCAAGGGCCAACTTCGAGCTCGTTTCCGATCGACTTGGTGATTGAACATGTCTATCGCGGTTGTGGACGACATCAGGATCTTGTTCTGGTTGTCCTGAACGTTCCCTGTCTTCCTTTGGTCAGAAAGATTGCGCGAACCACTCATATGCGGAGGCCCACAGAACATATTCAAAACTCATCGCCCGTTTTTGCACACGTAGCTAGCAATGAGGAACCGCCACGCAACCGGGCGCGAGACGCCGGACATGCATCGACAACATTTTGGATATGGAACTAGCGCTGACAAGTTCCATCGCGCCCACAAGAAAACGTCACAGCACCGCCGCCCGTGTGGCAGCCCGTCCCCTCGATTCGTTTTGGGCGAACTCTGACGTGGACAATCCTCGCGACGATTACAGTCTCGAAATCTGAGCTGAATGAACGCACCAATGACCTCGTGGAACGATCAGCTCTCGATCCACGCCGATCACATTTCGATTCCAATTACTCGTAGCCGCGTTTTCCAGAGCAGCTTAGTGAGGCGTGCGCGGGATTGCAGCGGGAGCGAGAGAGTGCCGTTCGTGCCACTTGTTCCTGATGGAGTTCGGATTCATCCGAGCTCGGGATGAAGGCAATAGTAGATGTCATTCGCGATATCGTTGGTTGGATGACTATGCCCCCCTTACGTCCGACCCATTGTTTTCACGCAACGTCCCCCCATCGAGAGTTTTGAGGCGACCCCCTGTCCATAACGACCCGCCACTCATGACTTTTGTTGGTGTTCTTTGTCTCCCACGAGGGGTTATGCAATTCTCGGGCTGGACGTTTTTGTTCCGCCTCACTACGGAACGTGTGTGGTAGTTCGGATGAATCCGAACCACAACCCTCGGCTCGTGGGAAGTCTCAACGGGAACCGCATCCCTCAGATGTCTTTGTGGAAGGGACAACGACGCCACAGGGGATCGCTTTCGAAGTAAACATCTACACAAATCATGACTCTGATAGCTCCCCATCTGCTTTTGCCTTCGTTTGTAGCTCGGATAAATACGAACCACAACCACAGACGACTGACGGACGACATTTGTGGCTTTTGTCAGTGTTTATTTCTTCCGCATTGGGTAGTGCAACACTCACACAGGACTTATCAGTTCCGCGTCACTCCTAAACGTGTGATGTAGTTCGGATCAATCCGAACCACATCCCTCAGCGCATCGGGAGTCCCGAGGTGAGTATCACGCCCAGTGATGGAAGGTCTCATGGGGAAAGGAAGACGACGGCACACGACACGCGTCCTAAATACAACATACAATAACCGAAGGTGGG